CCCTCCCCTCCCCCTCAAGCAAATATGAAAAAAAGGAACGTTAAACGAATCTTTAAATTCAAACGGCCTTATTAATTAATTATTAAACATTGATATTAAAAATTGTGTTAAATAAGTTTATTTATTAAACAAATTTGATATGTAAAAGATTAATTTTTAGGTTTACTACCAATTATTGATATGAAATTTTATGCTAATAATTAAGAAATTAAGAAATCGTATGAAATAAAAAGTAAACGAAAGCTAACTTTAATGATTGTACCCGATTTGACGTCGTTCAATAGAAGGATTGTGTTGATAATCTTGACCATAATAATTGTTGTTTAGAACATTTAATGTTTGTACTGATTCCGGAATTACAAGCTGAGTATTATTATTTTTATTCTCACGATGAGAAAACTGATATAAAATGTCAAATATCCGTATGATTAGATTGAGTAATAGAACAAGGGAACTTAATATTAAACTTATGAATGGTACTGTGGAGTAACCAGTTGTATGAATTTTATATAATATCTACAAAACAAAGGTACAATAAATATTAAAGGTTTAACAGGTTTAAAATAGATAATAATACATATAATATAAATACCTGAATAATAAATTGAGGAATATCTTCAATAATAGAATTAATAAATTCGATTGAAACAATAGTTTTTAATGCGGCACTGGAAAATCCACAAGAGAACATTCGAAAACCACCAAACTTAGAGCACATTAATCGTAAAAAGTTAATGTCAGCGCCAGCCAAGATTGTCATAATAGCAGCAAAACCTCTATAATCTTCAAACCATGAATGAAATTCACGATTTTCATGTGCACAGGTTTGCGCTATTATGATTATTAATGCCATTATGAAATTTATTCCCAATGGAATAAAGAAAGCAAATAAACTATCAATAAATAATAAAAAAATAACGATAAATAAATTATTAAATTTAGAAATTATTGAGTTAGCAAAAGAAAAATCAAATGAATACATACGTGGGAAGAAATAAGAATTCTACATCATGAGAATTGTTTATTAAAAATATTAATTCGAAAATAAAATCTAATAACATCAGAAGGCAATTAAATATAATAAAATTGTTCCCCTTCTTATGCTTGCAATGTCCAAAAACCCAAAGTGCGAAAGCAAGAACTAATGCGATGGCAAGCCCAATAAAGGCAACCTTCTCTTTCTTCACAAAATCCACTTTAAGTTTTATTTATCATTAAAAAAACAAACATTATTTTAACAGTTATGATATGAAATTTTATAA